CAATGCGGGGGCATTGGCATCCCTTGATCCCAATAACCTTGTCAAGTTATCCTTTTGGAAATTTTATGAACCCGTATAGCAGCGCTGCAACAGCAGCATTGCGGCAGCACGCTGCCTTGTAAACTTATTCCAATAACCTTTTACTTGTAAACTTATCCTTTTCTAAACTTATCCCTAAAAAAGTAAAAAATAATTTTTAATTAACACCTTTTAATTTAACAAAGATACGTCGTCGTTTGCATAATGAGTTTTCTACATTGAAAGGAATTAGTAGCCTTGCACAAAAGTTGGCGGAGACAAAGAGGAACAGACAGTATCCCTTAGTGTACTTGCTAGTGAAATTAGCTTTGATTTTAACTCTTGCAACTGCTTCAGTTGAAAGAGTTTTCTCGGTGATGAAAATTATGAAGAATCCACATCTTAATAAGATGGGTGATTAATGATTGAATGATAGTTTGGTTGTGCACATTAAGAAAGATGTATTTGATTCTATTGATAATAATGTTGTGATACGATGTTTTCAAAATATGAGAACATGTCGTGGACAATTATAAATGAAAGTATGATGGATTTTTTAAAGCTATTTTTTGACCCCATTTCTTTAAATTCCTGGCTCTACCACTAAACACCTTAATTATCTTGCATTAGTAAGAAAAGTTGGAGTTCATGCAATAAACACTATGAAAGTTGACTGATATATCCTTCAAGAAAAATGCTAAGGAAACTCGCTCAAAAAGCAAGTCTCCCAGACTCGCTAGCCACATATGAATTGGCTTAACAAAGAAACTGTAACACGGGTCTACCATTAAATAATGAAAAAAGATAACCTGCAACAATAACTACGAGTTTTGAAGAAACCAAAACGTCAATCTGACTTCCAGACAAGCCCGACGAGCCGCGAGGGCCATCTTGAATTATAATTTTTACTGAGCAGCGGGTAGAATATTATGCAAACAACTTAAATACGCGGGCGACAGTCTTGTTACAATATAGTAAGTTATTCTGAGTGGATATCTTGAAATTATCCATCGTCATTATTTATTTTTGGCTCCCTACCTTCATATTTAATGGGTTTACAACTGACGTTAACATAATGTTTGGAATATAAGAAAAATAAGATCACATATAATCCTCAAAGTTTACAATTTAAAATTTTATAATAATGGTAATTAAGGTTAATTATAGTTAATAACACATAGTTACATTCTAATTACTGTAGCAAGATTGGTTTTTACACTCTGAAATTCATTTATTACACTGTCAATGTGAGATGCATGTTATGCATGAATATGATTACATACATAATCATCGTTTGGGTTAAATGACTCTAGTCCTTTTTAAAGGATACCGTACTTAGACTAACGCTTCAGTAAATAAACCAATAGAGAGAATAAATTAAAGGAGACGAAAAGTTATCTCAGAAAACTAAAATCAATGGAGAATAATGTATATATTCAACAAATTAATTTAAACCCCACGGAAGTTCACTTAATAACTAATAAACATTATGTCAAGCAAAATGTTAATCGTCAGGAAAGAAGACATAACAAAACCCAATTCCATAGCCATCGGTTCACTTTGGAGATAAAATGAAGTTGTTGGTTAGGGTTTGGGGTTTCAACTTATTAAGGTTTGTGTAAATGGCACGGATCATTTGTAGGTGAGAATGACCTATATATTATTTTTCGTGATCACACACTTACGGCTCGTTTTGAAGTGTTTTTTAAATAACTGAAAGCATTTTTTATGAAAGTATTTTTTGAATTCTAAAAACACTTAAAGTGCTTCCTAGAAGAAGCACCTAGTTATGTGATTCTTGTAAGAAGCACTTCAAGTGCTTTTTAAAGATCTAAATAATACAAACTTTGTACTTATTTGATAGTTGGAGACACCCACACGGCATCATTAATTATATTGTACAAAGTTGAAGTACCCACTTCATATAATTTGGGGGAAAAGGTTCCTCACCGGATCATTTTCCTAGGGATCCGTGGAATCTCGTAATCTCATCCGTTCATCGTATATCATACGGTCAGTTTTCGTTAGGTACTATTTATATTTAATTTTAAAATTTAAAATTTAAATGATTTCTAATCGCACGATGTACGATAAACGGATGAAATTATGGGATCCCTTGGATCCCCAGGAAAAGGATCCGGCGAGGATCCTTTTCATAATTTGTGGAAGTCACTAACTTAAGCAAATCCGTTGATCTCTACTATTTTTATTATGGTTCCTAACCCAAGTGCCAACCACAGAGCACTATCATGCTCCACAAATTCGATCTTCTTCAAAGGCCATGGAAAAAAGAAGATATTAAAAAGATACTCAACCAACATTAGTACAAAACCTAATCTGCTTAATGGTTAGCAGCTGTGACGCGCATGCTTAATCGGACTCCATTTTTGTACATTCAGAGGCACATGCAAGTGGGTCTCATTGTCCATTTTGAAGTTCTTGGTGGTTAGGAGACTCTTAATCATCCTTTAGTTAATCAATTGCATCGTTAATTAGACGTACGTACCCTAATTACGATCTTAATACATTAACGATGGATCGATTATTGCTATCTAGCTATCGTATAATACTTGGACGGTGCAAATTCCTTTTCATTTCCTTAATCTCCAAAATTCCAAAATAATTGCGTTTAGAGGCATATAACCTTATTTTGGTAGAAAGGGATTGGTAACTAACCTGACACTCTGCTATATATAATCAAGGAGACAAAGCTCACATGAGAGAGTGTTGTGATCAAAGAAAGACGCCATAATCTTTCACATCATCTTTTTCTAAACACCATTAGTTATTAGGATTCAAACTGGAACATAGCTATAGGTTCCCCTTAATTGATTATTAAGTTGATTGATCGATTTTGCTATTCCCCTTAATTGATTATTAAGTTGATTGATCCATTTTGCCATTCATATCAATCGGTTTTACCTTTTCCAGTTTAGTTCTTCTAAATAATCCCTTTTTGTGCACTTCAAATCATTTTGCTTACTATTACAACGTACATTGAAAAGAACCTCTCTGTACATTATTATCCACAATAAAATTATCAAAAAATGATCCGGACACACAAATGAAAAAGTGCATTCGGATTATTAACTTATTACTTAATCGTAACTAATAAAAAGTTTTAAGTCAATGAAAGTGTCACTCATCATGGTCTAGTGACAAGTTAACCAAGCTTGGGTAAAATGTACTACATGAACCCCTATAACCTACCTAATCTCATAACTAACCCTTCTAAATCTAAGACACAATTCGTCCCAATTAATATATTTGTGGCTAAATATGTGTGCTTCGTGTTCCAAAGGAATTTCAGCATCAGCTACAAAATTAACTTTTTTATATATAAAATTTATGAATTTGTGGCATGCAATTGCATACAACAATACGTAATTAAATTTGTTTTACAATCTTATTAAGATGATACACCAAATTAACACACTTGTCATTTGTCCGAATGGGTTTACAACATGCTTCATACATTTAACTAATTAAGCCCCTGGACTCCCTTCATGAATTAATGAATTGCCGGAGGATATCTTGTTCTTGCATTTAACTTTCCTTTCACTTAGGGTTTCATGCGCCCTACCAATACATAAAAATTGACAAATCATAGAGAACCCAACATTTTAGATCTTTACCAGCAAAACATTTAAGATTAATGAATGTGAGAGAAACTAAAATCCAACATATGGCTGAATTTGAATGGAATATATTAGTCAGCCACAAAAAATTTTCTGATACGAGTCTCTTTCTCTGATCTTGCGAAAACCACAGTGCTGCTGCGATCTTAATCTGAAATGGGGCTTTCCCACATAAATTTGGTTAATTTGAATGCAGGAAACAGATTGTGTTGGGAAAGTGGGACAGGTAGAGGTGGGTAGACATGGTGGGTTCATTTCTCTATTTGTGAAATTAGGGTTTTGATTTTTCAGCACCACACAACTGCCACAAACCAGTTTCGTATCTTTTCCCAAGTTCAGATGAGGTGGTGGAATATCAAGAATGTCTCCTGGAGCTCAAACTATACGTCTCCCAAGTTTGCTGGTTTTTGTCCCAATTATATATGTCACTTGGGGAATTAAAAGTCGTTAAAATTTAGATTTGTTCACAACATCACATGCGTTGTTTTCTTCCAAACGCGGGTTTCTGGATTGCTATGTGAAACCACAGAAATGGTTACGAGACTGGAAAAAAAATATATTAAAAAGTAAGAAATTCGATTAAAAAATGTGTTCTGGTTGTGTGTTTTGGACTCCCAGCCCCTATTATACCAAATAAATAATGATTTAGAGATGACAGTAACATCAAAATAAATTATTATTCATCAATTATTTGATAATTAATTAAGGATTTAAAAAATATGAAAAAGTTTGAATACTTATTAGAAATTTGACTTATACCAATTAAATGATTTCATATTTTGCCACAAGTCAATATATATATACACGCATTACCCTATTTTCATAAATAAGTTAATAGAGAAAATTCTCATCTCCAATTAAAAAGTCAATACAACTTACAAAAGATTGCTCTCTTTATTTTCTTTTGCTGATTCAACAATAACTATCAGAGGGAATTTGAGATAAACCACAGGACTCAACAATAATAGTTAGGTATCAAACTTATTGTTTTTGTGAGTTAAACTTGCAAGCAAAGAAGAATATCACTACTCTAATAACATATTTACTTGAAGTTGAAGAAATCATAAATCAGAATACATGAAAAAGAATAAGGATGAAAGGGAATATAAACCCTTTCTCTCGCTTATTCCTTGATTTTGATTAAACACGTGATCTTAATCGATACTAATTTCTTCCAATTCCATTTTTTTTACGTAAACATATGCCCTAAGAGGGGTTCGGACTAAAAATATTGGATTCACTTAATTCAAATGTTGAAAATATACGTTAAATCTGAAATTACTTATTTGTCCTTGTTCAACATTATACATTTGGGGGCAATTCCCTTGTGAAGCAAGCACCACGACAATAAAAACACCAATTTTTCATTAATCTCAAAAAAATGCCAAAAATCTACTCAGTGGTCGCCTACAAATACAAAATTTGAAAACTAACCCTATAGCCTGTGTCTCGGGTTCCCAACCGCCCCAAGTTTCAGTGTGCAAACTGTACAGAAATTAAAAATGGCGCTCCAAATTTTATAGGATTTTCACATCCTTAAGGTATTAACCCCATTAGGTTTCGCTCTCTTTGCAATACGGCCCCCAATAAGGTTACCGTTACCCCATTGAGGCGGCATGTTATGCTGGAATTTGCAATTAACGCCGTTACGGCATCCGTTGGAGCCCTTAAAGTACTTGCACTGTTTTGGCTTCTTTGGTTTCTTTCCTTCTGGTTTAAAGTTTCGTGCCATTTTCATGTCTTTCGAGAGATTAAATTTGTTACCACTTTGTTTTTGTGCAACAAAGGGGTACGGGATTCCTTGCTTTTCCGCTCCATGTTGCATGATGAGGTTCTTACAGTTGTTGATATTCTTCGCCGGAGGGAGCGGGGCTTCCCTGACGAGGAATGCCGGTGATGGAGCTCTGTTCGGATAAGTCATTGCACCGATGGTGGGTTGTGTTTGAATTTGATTTGGGACGGGCACGGGTGGTGATGGTACGGGTCGGTTCAACCCGGACATTTGAACACTACCTGATTGAAGAGGGATTGCATTCATAGTAGTTCCCAGTCCCACTGTACCTGCCATAGGGAACAAGTTTCCACCTGCAGTCGTTAGCATATCAGTTTTTGGAAGAGATGAGGGAACTGATGGAACTTTTGTCTTTGGCATGGGTGCAGTAAAGGAGTTGGTTGGTGCATCTCCTAGTTTGGCTGGTGATCCGGGTTCGTTAATCAATTTCTGGATCATTTTCGGGTCACTTAGAAGTTTAATGAGCAAATCAGTATCAATCAAACTTCCCTTCTCTGTGCTTTCGACGATTGCAGTCAATGCGACTGCAGCAGCAATCACATCCGCATTTTGGCTAGGTAAGTTTCCTAGCGATGGTTTATCATCGGCAATTTGCTGAGGAGACGTGGGCAGACCTTGGGGCAAGGCTGGTGGCTTACATTCTACATCGGAATCCAATTCCATATCAGATGATGGTAAATTCTGGGACTCTTCTTCAATTTCTTCAATTGGAATAAGGGGGGCAGATGGAGTGAGCCTATCGTCACAACGCTCAGCTTTTACATCCGCAGAAACAGAGGGGCTGTATAAAACATTAGAGCTGATCAGGTTCCCTTATGTAAAAGAACAAAAGACTGTGAAACATACGTCCAGATACAAGATAGAATGCTTACTTAGGGGGAATTGCAGAAAGACGAGGATAAACTGCTTCGAGCACTCTCGTCGCTCTCAACTTTTGAGCCTCGACTTCCTCACTTTCCTCACCTGCTGCCACTTGCCAGGCATCATTCACGACAAACTGTTCAAATAAAACAAACACAACACCATTGAAATGCATACCTCGACTCAGATTACAGACCATATATTCTCGTCGCATGCATACTTAAACAACAATTTAGAAAAGATCTAACGCCTACTCACCTTGGAAGGGCATTTCCATTGAATCTGACGGATGAGTGGCCGTTCCACTTTTGGTTGTCTCACAGGAACACAGCGTTCAAACCCGGGGGGAAAATCATGTTCTATAGGAGCTGAACGCGACATATATGACACCTTTGCTTGAAGATGATGTTGATATTTCACGCCAACGGCCACAGGACAATCTTCGGAAGAGAACAGCTTTACCTATCCGGCAGAAAAACATCGAGTCAGGTCACAACGAACAGATGAATTAAAACAATCAGTAGCATTTCCCACAAGATATTGGAAAGATAAACTTCGAGAATCAAATTTATACAACCAGAAAAAGCATCCGACTGCAGGAAAATGTTGAAACGACGGTTCAGCATTTCATTGTATGTCCTGCAAATTTCAAGACAGCCCAATCTTGGAATTCAAACAGCAAGGAAAAACAAGCCTGATCAAGAAAGTATACATGCTCTCACTGACCATTTTCGTTTACAGAGCACTCAAAACATTAGCAGAAGATAATTTGCATCCCCTACAACTCTTATGTAGATTAAGTAGTGAGCTATTACCTATTCAAAAGCCTAGACGTTAAATCACACCTCGTTATATATTACAAATTTATTCAAAATGAGTTAACCATCGCCCACCACGTGGACCACATGCATACAAACTCGCCACGGGGTTTACCATTCCACCCAAATTATAACATGTGGTGGGCGACAGGTTATTTGCTTCAGGATGAAGTATTAATAAATGTACCATTGGTGGATCGTAACACCATGTGATGGTATTACTCAAGTGTGTACAGATAGCCACGCGACGTCATAAATTGTACACATCATAACACTAAAACAGGATTTAAACCTGCTGATTCTTGTAAGATCTTAGTTAGTAATTCTGTTGACAAAAAAAATACAGAGAACAGCATTGCAGTTTCAGTAAGATCGTTCAACTGGTTTAAAGAACTTCATCGTGCACGATTTTGTTGCAACGAAATCAAACTTAATCCTAATGATTCATGGTATAATCCTATTGATACTTGTTCTAGATCCGTTGATTAATGCTATAACTCTGTTAATCCTTAACATAAACTCATTTTTTCTTTTTTCTTTTTCTTTTTCTTTTTTTTTTTACAATATTTTGGATATTTGGTCTTGATATTTTCATTAATCCAAGCTTTTGTCCAATATTGCAAATAAATTTCTTCTTTTTTGAGTTTCAATGAGTTTCTGATGATGATTTCAAATGAGTATCCAAATCCAATTAGAAAGATTAAAACAAGTAAAACGATAATTAAAAATTAATAACCAGAAGCAAAGCTTTAATCAACCATATCTTAAGAGTTTTAGTTTCGTTAATTAAATCTGGGAAAATAATAATCAAAGGGAAAGAACAAAACTGATCGATTGGGGTATTTTCTCAGCCGCCAAACAGAAAAAATCGAATCAAAAGAAAGAAGGAACAACTTTTCTGGGAAAAACGCAAGAAAAGGTTTCAGAAGAATCGGCGATTATACCTGACGAAGATCGGGTCCAGAAGCCCAAGATACCGAATTCGATTTCCTCGACCGCTTCAAATTCATTCTCATAATCTCAATTTACACAAAATTCTTCCTACAAATTTGTAAAATTACCGGTCCGATTTATACAAATTTTGGAAATTGAAACCCTAATTTTTGAAACCGGGAAGAAGATTAGAGGCGATGCGTCGTCGCTTCGAGTGTGGGTGGGTGTTGGTAACTTGGTGGTCTTATATGAATCGAATTGGGTGACTGGGTTTGGGGAGCGTCGGGAATCGACAGAGACAGCTAATTGGTTGTTTTGGGTTTTCCAAATTTTGTAAATTTCAATTATGACGTCATATTTGGTAAGACCCGCGAAAATGCGCTAATTCTTATCTGGCCTTTCATTTCATATGACCCTTTTGGGCAATTTATATAAAAATTTTCTTGAATTTTTAGTTAAAATAATTTTTGAGATTGATACTCCTCAGTTTAGTAATTGATAATAAAAAGAAGTGATTATTGAGTCTGACAAAAATCTATTTAAAAAGTGATCACACGGTTATTCACGTGACAATTTAATGAGGATATCGACAGATTTTTTACAAAAAAATCAAAATCATTTACAGTGGACAAACTCAAAGACTTCTTCTATTAATTCTCATTGTTAGGGACTAAAGTGAGTAATTATGCCAATCACAATAACTATTTTGGATAAAAAACCTTTTTTTTTTTTTCGGATTTTTATATTTCCTTGAGGGTTGGACAACTTGAAAATACATTAGTTTTGGAATTAGATGGTGTAATTTTTTTTATGCAAGCGATATTAGAGGATAAGAAGTTCGAATGTAGAATTGAATGCACGAGTACAGTTCTAATCATTTAAGTTACAAGTCTTTCACAAATTCGTATGATATTTGGTTAACCTAATCTCTTGAAAAGGTTAAAACACCTTTTGTCAAAATAGGTAAAACACATAACATCTTCCAAGTTTATTGAGAAGATAAAATACATTGTACCATCCTTTACTTTTAAGGAAATACCTCACCTTAACATATGTAATTATTTTCCTTAAATTATCTTTGTCCAAAGACACCACGTCGACAATTAAATATTTTGAGGTCTCGTGGCACCTTCGCAAGTCAAAGCATGCCGTGGTCGAAGGAGAAGGAAGCTGACATTCTACGTTGATGCGTAAGTAAAGAACGTGGAGAACACACCACACTCTTGAAGATTTTGACAACAACCTAATACTTGATTGACGGGGTATACAGTTGAGGGGGAGGGAGTCAAAGATGTAGACGCAGACCCGAGGTTTAGACACATTAATTAGATAAATGTGCTCTATTTTCTACACGTAATTTTGAATCTATTTCTCTGTAATTTAGATAAATTTATTATAATTATTTTATCTTTTTAATAAAAAAAATAATATAAAAAAAATGTCAACACTAACTTGTACATTCTTTCCATTTGCTTGATATTACTTTTGTAAGTCTACGATGGTTTGTTGAGTTGATAATAATTGTTCTCTTTGCTAAACCAAGACTTAGATCCGAGTCTCACTGCTGACAATCCATCTTGGTGGGTGATTTGTACAAACAAACAAAAAAAAACTAAAACCCCCTTTGTAAGTCCTCAGAAACTTGTGGTATACACTGTCCCTGGATGTGGATGGGGTAACCTTTCATCCCCTAAACTTTTCAGGAACAAGGGATATTATTTTTGTAAAACTTTGATGTTTTATGGTTTGGCTTTAGAACTTACAAGGGGGATTGAATTTTTGGCTTAGAACTTATGTTGGGGGGTTAAATATATTTTTATGGATCATACTTGTGTTTCCTTCTGGGGAATGCACATCTTTCGTTTTTTCCGAATAACGTATATTTAGTCTACAAATTTCTTAATCGGAATATTTAACTTCTTAATTTTCATTTGAAGATCATTTCTACCCAAAAGAAAAAAAAAACATTCACTCGGAGATGGAACAAATCGACAGTATTAGCACCAAATAACATACTCATGACAAACCGTCAATTTATATATATATATATATATATATATTTTAACGACTAAATGACCTTCAATTCAAATAATATTTTCGTAGGGATGATCTTCATACGAAGATTAAGAAATTAAATGGTTTCAATTATAAAGTTTAAACGGGAAAGATACCTTATTCGCAAAGATATGTGCGTTCCCCCAATAGGGAAAATGTAAGTATTATTCTATTTCCATTGTTGGACCATGAAGTGAGCTTTAGACGTGGGTGAGCTGAATGTGTTTGTCAATGTTAGGCGTTCATACTAGTTGTTCCTTTCTCCAATTGGTAGGTTTTTATAATTTAAGGACTGATTTTTTTGAAAAAAAATCAGTTTAGAGACCTAATTTTCACTCAGTTTAGAGACCTAATTTTCACTCAGGTGATAATTCAATGACTAAATTGCCAATTCATCCTAAAAAATGCATTGAGCTATAACCCTATGCCTTTATAGGGACAACTTACAGGAGATCGTACATCATCACGTGATGGTTTGTATAAAACAATAATTTGTAAATAAAAAATTTACACATGTTTATTCATTGGCATAAGATGGCACCATGACAATGTAATGATGTATCCATCATGTAAGTCTTTCTCTTTTCTGGAACCATATCTTAATTCGGCTTTGTTCCAAGAAATTGAGAAGATAAATCAGGACATAACCAATTTTTTATCGGAAATAAAAGCATATGTGAGTAATTTTACAAAACTTTTTTTGTACTTTATGCACATGATCATTCCAACATCTAAAGATTAAAGGAATAGAGGTTGTGTAAGAAGAGAAACTTACATGACACGAACATATGATCATTCTATCGATTTGTGTCAATAATACAAACATGTAGACAAAAAGATTACATATGTCTTTAAACATTGACACGGAACATCATATTGATTGTGTACCTGTGTCATGTAAGTTATTCTTGTGTGTAGAAGGAGAAATAGTTATGCATAAATTTGGTAAATACATTTTAAAAAGTGATGAATCATAAAATTGCTATATACTTTTTCAAAATTAAGAAAAAATCTGATATGTTCCTAATAAAAACGCTCCTACTTAAACACTTGCGAGTATAAGTGCTTCATACTCAAAACAATCCTAAAAATCCTAAGGCTTTCTCCAACCCAAGGGTAGGAAATCCCAAATTTTAGCCCTATATTTTCAATTGTTCATCTATATGTATGAGGTTAGACAGTTTTTTCCTCCAACAGTAAAGGGCCTATAATTCTTATTCCCAACTTTATAATTTGTTAAACTTTTGTAGTTCATTGATTTGTTTTTTTTTTTTTTTTTTGCTAATAATTTTGGAATTAGTTTTTGTCACATTCCGCTCGGGCCCCCACCACATCCCGGGCTTGACTCCACCGTAGCATCACATTGCCTCATGAGACATTCTAGAGTCGGGGTGTGTCAGTTTTTGTATAATCTATCTTGTTTTATTTTTATGAACATTTTGATGTAAAAAAAATCAAATTCTTAAAATAAAATTAATAACATTACATGAATAACAAAAGGGATTACACAAGAATACTTAAAGCATGTTACACGAATAAAATGACAAAAAAAAAGAAGACAATAATCACTTTCCAAGATATATGGACTGGAATGATAGGACAGGGTGTCTGAATCCAACATCTAAAGACTAAAGGAATAGAGGTTGTGTAAGAAGAGAAACTTATATGACACGAACATATAGTCATTCAATCGATTTGTGTCAATAATACAACCATGTAGACAAAAAGTTTACACCTGTCTTTAAACATTGACACGGAACACCACGATGATTGTGTACTTGTGTCATGTAAGTTATTTTTGCGTGTAGAAAGTGAAATAGTTATGCATAAATTTGGTAAATACATTTTAAAAAGTGATGAATCATAAAATTGCTATATACTTTTTCAAAACTAAGAAAAAGAAATCCCAAATTTTAGCCCTATATTTTCAACGGTTCATCTATACGTACGAGGTTAGGTAGTTCTTTCCTCCAACAATAAGGGGCTTATAAATCTTATTCCCAACTTTATAATTTGTTAAACTTTTGTAGTTCATTGATTTTTTTTTTTTTTTTTTTTGCTAACAATCTTGGAATTAGTATTTGTATAATCTATCTTGTTTTATTTTTACGAACATTTTAATGTAAAAAAAAATCTAAAATCCAAAATTAAAATTAATAACATTACATGAATAAGAAAAAGGATTGCACAAGAATACTTAAAGCATGTTACACAAATAAAATTACTAAAAAAAAAGACAATAGTCACTTTCCAAGATATATGGACTGGAATGATAGGACAAGGTGTCTGAATCCGAGTTCGATTTCTGTGCAGTAATTGCTTCTTGTTTAACTTGCCAATACCTCCTCTTTATTGGAGTATATTGGAGTGGATCATCCTCCTTAATTTTCTCCTATTTTTATTCTTTTTAAGCAATTGCATCCTTGCTCTTTTATCGTCCTTGTTGAACTAATTGACACAAGTATCACCAGATTATTGAATATAAGAAGACTCATCATTTTTTCCCTTTCTCTTTGCTTCCTTCTGTATATTGCGTCCAACCTTGGGAGTGGCGTTACAGCTGGCTCGACCACTTCTCCCAAATGCACTCCATCTGTGGAACTATAAAAAGTCCTTCTACTCGTTGCTCCCTCCAAGCTCGACCCGCTTTGGAGAATTTTTGAAAACCTCCAAGCTTGTTGCAACTTGAATTTTGCATGGTTGCATGACTTATTTCTGGCTTCAAACAATCGGTATGCTTTCTACTCCTACGCATATTGTAAAGGAAAATTAATAAGATGAAAATATTAATACAATTAAAATTGTAACATTTAAAGATGTAAACTTACCATATCTTCTATGTTGGTACCACTTGCTGAATTACGATATTTGACACTTACAGATGAACTCCATAGTTGACATTGTTGGTTCAAAGTTTTGAAGCGAGACTTACTTCCTCCTTGTAGTCGAGGTTTTCCCCTACAATGCATGGATTGTTGGTGAGAACCTTTTGTAAATATGCCCTCACATCGTATCAATTGTTTGAAAGTGACCAATAGAACCATCTTGGGTAATCGACACCCAAACTATGCATAAGGCAATATCTTAGGAAGTCAATTGGTGTTTCTATCGCTCTCTTTATCTGCCATATGAGTTAAATTTGAAAGGAGAATGAAATGACTGAAGAAATTTGCTAGTGAACTATGAGAA